AATGCCGATTCGGCGAGGATTGCATACGAAAAGGAGGCCGATCCTCACTAGCTATCGAACAACCGATAAACTGGGTGGCATTTGTGTGTATTCAGGACGCGCCAGGGATGTGCCAGCTATCCCTGTGGCATCGAGAGAGTAGAAACTTGCTTCTGGAACCGCGAGTGTTTGCATATGGGTTAACACTTGATACAACAACTCCTATCTGGTCGACTTGACACAACACACTGAGTTTCTGGTCGGACATAATTAATGGACGTTTACAAAAGCGTTTAATCCTTGCAGGAAACAACCGAGTAGCTTGTTTGGCTTCCGGAATACGGGGCCAAATACATGTTTGAATGTTACCCCCGATTGCTATTTATGGACAGCAGTAGATCGGTGCACTGTTGGAGCCTAATTATCCTTCTCCAGGTAGAAAGGATGTTGACTTAGAAATCCGTGTACAAAGGTGGAAATCGAGAGAGAGCGAAATACTCTCATCATGCCTGTAACACGGAATTTCGTGCAGCGTAATCAGCACCATCAGACGAGAAGCGTTTTTGGTTTCACTACAACGAAAAGTCTGTGCTCCAGATCATTCACAGCCAGTGAAAACTGAGACAGCTCAAGGTTAGTTGAGCTAGACAGAACAAAAATGTGCCAGATCAGATAGATAGCGAGATGTTTCGATTTAGACTGGGCGACACCGAACTGACGGTGCGCTAAATGTCTTTCTATCTTTTGTCTTCCGCTCTCTGTATCTAACTAGTCAAGTTGGAGAATGGTGTGTTCGAAATACACAGGATAAGTAAGGTGATGATGGGTATGCACCAGGTTGATCCAAGAGTGTCCATAAATCAGACAGGCTTCTGTTCAACACTGCACAAGAATAACAAGCAGTGACTGCATACAACTGTCCCGACTGGCTACCAAAATCTATGGCATCCACGCATTCCCAATTATTAAAGTACCAGTTGAATAGAATCCGAACGCTAATTGTCGTTTTTACTTTGACCCCCATGAACTTCAGCTAACTATAATATTTATTACTTGACATGTCACTACATAAAAAAATTATGAATATCACCCCTAATGAAAGATGAGGTGGAATTTCATTCAACTGAAGGTCATAAAACAAGAGCTTCAACTGAGTACCCGGTAACAACATTTTGAGGAGTAAATGAGTAGCTGAGTAGCTTTGGAAGACATTTTTATTAAATAACCCCTGACAATTCTCGTTTCAAACCTGACCTACAATTAAAAAGAAAGTTGCTTTGAAAAACGGCACTCAAAACGTCACAACGATAAAAACGGCGCTAAAAAGTGCAGAGCTACTTTAGGATACCTAGGCCTCAAGTTGTCGTCTTGTCGTGATGATCGGGCTGTTGTGCAGCTATGATCCTGTGAGCTGTACTGGCTGGAACTCAGTGCCTTAAGGTTCAACCAGGTCAAAAAGACAAAAAGGGAGCAGCTTGAAGAAGGACAGTGAGTCCCCATACTGTTAGAAGCCGTCCCATGAGACAGTCTGCAAGTAAATTCGGAATTTCCTCTGCGATAGGAATTCGAAAGCAGTAAGGCGTTTTCTTTAGGCGACCGTGTCAATATTTATGGTAGCAGCGAGGCTGCTTTCGACCAAAGAACGAGGGGTCACAAAAGATCGGTCCCAAGATCCGCACACTCAGATAAACTACCGGCTGAATGTGACCCCCAGGAAAAGTGACTCAAGAAACCCTAACAACCTCCGCTACGCGGCTCCAACTTTTGAGTCAGAAGATAGGGGAAAGGTCCCCGAACAAATACTACATCCTTTCACTGACTTTTGAGCCAAAGGCTCTACGTAGGATATCTCAGTCAACCCCCTTCTTCGACCTGGCCAAAAAAGTACCATTCGCCGTTAGAGGCCTTCGTCCATTAACTCCTGACAATACGTCACTCACCCTGGTGCTGGCCACTTATTTAACCGTTACTCATCAAACCATTGCTCCGTCTCTAAGCTTCTTCCCAGTAAAACAAGTAAAAATAAACCCCTATTAAATTTGAAGGGATCTGTTACACATTACTGCTTTAATCGTCTGTAAGGTGTCAAGCTGGCCAACAGGTAGCTCTTCCTCAGACCTTGTTTTCTCTTGCGATCGATGCTTTGTGTGACTCCGAAACACGCGTACAGGGCCCAAGTTCGGTCATTCATCTCAAATCGCTTGAGACGAAACCACATTCCCCGCACTTTACCCTTGGGGTGTTTGATGACCCGGCGTGGGAGTTGTGCCTGACCAGAGTGGTGAATGCCCCCCTAAGGGACTGGATTCCAATAAACAGTCCCCTTTGTGCTGTTGAGTTGACTAGTTCAATCAAGACCAATGTATCTCGACGTGGTAAAGGATATCTGTTGCTTCCGTCTGTGGCTTCGACAGACTGTAGCTCTGAGGCTGAGAAAAGCAGTTTCTAGTGCGATTCGTCACGGTACATATATCGTGATCCTGGCGGATCCTGATGAAGCCCATCTTTGCGACCAATTCGGAGTTGGAGCTCACCGCTGGGCTTCAACCTGACCGGGGTTGCACCGGCCATAGCTTCACCTTGCAACTAGTGTTGGCACTGCGCCAATCTTTTCGACGGCCAAAACTGGTCGCATTTCTCGACCTCAAATATGTTTTTGATTTCACCGATCATCAGAAACTATGACATTCTTTGGCGATTAAGAGCATCGCTTCTAAATTCTTCACTCCCATAAATTATTTATATGCCAACTATGCTAAATAACCTCAATAGTTCTGCTGCACAATCCGGTCTGCGCTTCGCAGTGTTAATACAAGATTCGGTGGAATCGAACTCAGATAACATGCTAGCAGGTGAGCCGATCGATATGGTAGATAAGTGCGTCTAGCTGAGCAGTTGCATAATTCCTCGAAAACGGGCGAAAGATGAAGTCGATTTCTGAACTGAGAAAGCCGAAGTGGCGTTTGCTAACTTTCGATATTTGTGGCCCCGAAGTAACAACAGCAGGACTATGAAGGGCAGAGTGTTTGATCTGTTTTACTTTAAGGATCATATGAATGGCTGCCGCGGGTGGAAGACCTTCGAAGACTCTACGTTTGACCATCAGTGCTTCCAAAACATTGTGCGAGTCTGGTGGGAACACTAGATCAGTAATACTCCAGTTCATTCATCATCGATAGAACAGTTGATCACACTTAACAGGTTACGCTGATTAGTCCATGAACTTTGCATGCCAGAGAGTCGTTTGCCTCGTAGGGAATCCTTTGTCCAGCCTTGTGTCGAATGCAGACGACCAAGGGCCGGTCCGTTCATGGACCGGCAACGAAGCATGAAAGTCCTTACCAGTCAATTCGGTTGCGTTGGTAAACGCTATCGCCCCGGATGAGGCCCTTGGGAACAGACCAACACACCCGTGATCCTGATTTATGGTTTTGTCATGCAGCCAATGGCGTTCTTGCATCAAAGCTGTGCCTTCATTGTGTAGCCCTCAAGTCATGCCACACCAAACGATCAGAACCATTGAACTGATCGGGCGATCGCCTTAAGAGTAGGGCTTTTATTCCCTTATTCTCCTCATCCGGGGTGAACGAAGCTGAAACAGCTGGGATGACTGGGGGTTTAAAAACGAAACTGAAGTGAACTGAACTCTACGATACCGTATTGTTCAGAAAGATTTGGGTAATCGTTATAGTTTCAACGAGTGTGTAAATGACATTTTGATGGACACTTCCCCACTTCTGTTTCAAGGCAGCTAACAACCCTATTTTAGAGTACCCGCATTTGCATCTAAGTGCTCGACGGGTTTCCAGTCGGATGAAGACCATGAGTGCATGTTGACAGGCGCAACAATTTCATGCAACGGATCAGAGTTAAGATGTGAACCACTCCGTTGTCTGATTTAAATCCCCCAGTGCCTGACTTATCATGGTGACGAACAGCCAGTAAAAGTTTCAGAAGAGCTTGATAAACAATCGGTAGTTTTTATTTGGGCAATGTTTCGCATGCTTTCTGGTTCTCTTGCAGAACACTTCTTGGTTGCGTGAGGACATTTATTTCACGGCAAGGTATTAAATCGACTATAATCTGCGCGTAGACTGGTACGAAGCAAGAAATCAGACCGTTCTTCCACTTACATACTAGACAGCGTTCCTGATGGGAAGTTGCCAATTACTCGACTGAATCGAATTTTTTAAAAACGTTTCCAGGTGGGACTCTGTTGGAAAGTCAGCTTATTGGTTTCTTTGGAGTATCTACTCTATACTCGACTCTAGTTGAATACCTTCACACCTTTGAAGCAACGTACCAAACATGACATGTTAGGCCACGTCCTCTCTAGAGCTCGTCAACCTCAAACATTCTGGTGCACATGCTGCCTCGGATACTCACTGAAACTAATGTATGAGCACGGAGTATTAGTCATACAGTTTACAAACCTCTAGCCAGCCATATGAACTCCACTCTAGGCGTCGACAATGTCGACTTTCGATGTATACCCCTGCATCAATGTTCCCAGTCACATGTATTTCACTTTTCTGGCCGTGGTATCTGAAACGAGCAAACAGTACTGGTTCCTGGATTTCGATCAAACAGTGCCGACTCTTACATACAACCGAGAGTCACAAAATGGAAACTTACTAAGTCTGCGTCCATTCCATAGATGCAATAGCGCTCGTTCGGACAGTAGTCAGGCTGGTGCCGTTTGAATGACATGTATTCACGGATCTTGTGCTCGCCTTCACCCGGGCACTAAACAAACGGAGAAAGCAATACAGATTAGATCATCAGCCGAAACACGGGCTACTGAAGCAAAGACAGCTGAAGGGACATGGGGGTTCTGTTTTCTTGAGGGGAAAAACGAAGACTAAAGAACAGAGTGTAGTGTAGTTTAATGTAGCGCATTTATTATACACTATTCTAAAAATATCGAACGACTCAGTAATGGTGGAATGTAGTTTTTTTCGGTTTCAGGCATATGTCGCGGAGCAGTATGAGATGACTCAGTGGTTAGAACGCGAATTCATTGACCACAAGGTCCGTGGTTCAAAACTGCTGCCTGCATCTCGACTTCCCCTGCCTAGGCTCAAACAACCTGTCAGTATTCCGGCACTCGTGCTTCCTTCTCGTGGCAGTTGGGCACCAAGAGGGTGCTATAGCCGAACGAGTATGAGTGATTTTCAGTGTCTGTGCTTATGCGCCACTCACTTTTTAGCTGCATCGTCTATAGAATGAAAAAGGCGTCCACTCGTTGCTAGGTGAGCATGTTATCGATATTCGGACTTGCGAACTATGCGGAGTCACGCGGACGTCATCTGCTCGGCTCTCACAATGTCTTAAAGCACCTACAGCCTTTGAAAAAATTGGTGCCAAGCTGGTATCCAAGTTACAAATGAAATAGCATGGAATATGTCCATCTTTGCCACCACTAAGATCATAAACAAGAAAGATGCTTGCCTTGTAGGACTGACCATTCCAATCAACACGATTCGATCCCTATGGGCGCAGAACACTAGGGTGTGTATTTCTTGTCCCAACAATTTGTACGGATATATAT